AATAAATTGAAGGAAGTCACTCCGCTGAATAAGAAGGTGTTAATCTTAAATATATATAAAAATAGTGCCATATATTTTTGTACTACACCATGTTTAGTCTATTAGTTATGCATTTATATAAATATATATTATATGAGAACATTTCATGTTGTACAGTTATAAACTTTGTACTACAGTAAAAAAACAAAATCAGTTTTTCGAGCAAAAAAAAAAACAGTTAACCTTATTTTCTACACTATTCTGAATGTTAATGGGAATCACTTTTTACCTCCCCTAATGTACCGAATATATCCGATTTGATATTAGAATACTCTCTCGAAGCTGAATAAAAACTTTAAAAAGACATAATTGTATGTCCTATATAATCGTTGCAAAATAATACAATACATTCTTCTTTCTTCTCATTTCACTTAAAATATGAAAACATGTATTTGTGTTAATTTATAAAATAAATTATAAGCTACAAAAATAGGTACATAACTATAATAGGCTACAGATATAATGTCAAAGTACATAAAACAATAATACGACGATTTAAGAGAATATTTTAATACAAATTATGTATGATAATTTAATTTTTATGAAAACATCAATATATTGTGCAGTGCATAACAATGTTAATAATGTTATGATAATTTTAAAAAATGTTTATGTATTAGATTTGATATAAAGTCAGTAAAATAATTATCAGTTTTTTTTACGATATGTGGATAATAAATTTTTTCAAAACTATTTATATCATCAGTGCGGTATGTCCAATTCGTATATGCATTATCTACAATTTTGAAGATTTACTTAAAATCTAGTTTTTCTTTAAAMATTTTCTGAAAAAATTAAAACTGTTCGAGTTGGAAAGCTTTTTAAAAATAAAAAAACAAGAATATATTTCGCATATTTTATGTTTTATGTATACATAAAAAAATTGATAGTAATACTGAAAGTAACAAACATTAATAGAAAGAGGAACACGTTTTTCCGTTTATCTTCAAAATAAAAACAAAAGAAAAAGTACCTAAATGAAAAAAAATTAGTACGTCCACCATCAACGGTAAACGGAACTCTTATTAAACGTAAATTCTGTAGACTGAGGACAATTTGCTTTGATTAATTACCCAGCCTTTTTTCTTGTAGAAAATTGATGCTCATTAAAACGAGGGATTATTTCAACYTATACATTAGGGTGAATCTGATGAGCTKAAGAAAAAAAAAATATAACCAATATATTATAAAGCCTTTTTTTTGTTCTGTCAACTAAATAGTTACTGATATTGTATCTTTATTCCTTAATTCAAAATCACATAAATTGTCATAATAATTATTTAATTAAGATTTAATATATATATATTGTTGTAAATATTTATGAATTTACTGCAAAATAGTTTATGAATGATTTACGATTTAGATTTAAGTGGTTTTAAAACCATTTAACATTTCTTTCTGTAAGTTTAACTTTAAACAAATTTGAAATATATTATAAGACTCGTTTACGAATATGTATGAAACAAAAAAACTATAATTTMATTTGAATAAAACTCTATTATAAATCTTATAATATACACTATATGTTTGTTATTATTTAATTTAATATTGTTATAAGTTATCAATTCTTTTAAATTACATTTTTATGTATGTTATGGTAATATTCTATGAATTTYGAAAATGCCTTCCACTATACCCGGGAAAACCGAGTAGGTATTCATCTCTTTTCACACGAGTTAACCAAAATAAATGGTAACAAATTGTCATCTTTTTGTCTTTCCTTTTCTGTTTCCACCCTTTATTATTCCGGTATTTAACAATTTCGTTTAAAAAAGTTGTCATTCGAAGGCTGTCCCAACGACCGGAAAAAATGTTCAGTGGGTTAGGTGGTTCTGATTAACGTCTGAAGTTGCTATTCTTTTAAACAACACATTGTTTTAATTCCATTGCAATAATTGAATTTACTCTTGCAGCTTATTCAATAAAACAAATGTATACAACTAATTATATTATGTGGTTCTAGATGGAAGGAATTGTTTTTAGAATAAGTAAATGTTAAAAAAAAAAAAAAATAGCCTATCACAACTCTGCATCAAAAGCGTCATGATATGCAGGAAATATCGATATCTGCAGTTAGACGAGGCCAGATTTTTTTGGTAAAAATTTGGATTGCCAACTCGTAGGTTGAATTCCAAGTGCATAATGGAAAGGGACATCAAAATTTCAAAACCTTTCGCTATTATACGATGTACTCTTCCGGAATGGCTAAGGAAAATTTTAAATCCAGTAACACATATTATATTACCACCAGATGACTGAACACAGTAAGTGCSATTCGTTAATATTTTACGAGATGGMGCGTTCAACGCTTTATAAGCCCAGATAGTCATTCGGCTAATACCAAGATAATTGTACACTCGAAAACATGGTATAACATTATATTATATATGAGCAAAACTTGTACACACACAAAAAACACGACACACGTGACGAAAACTCAGTAAATCCGTTGTCAGTTTTCGGATGAGTGTTTGGCTCGTTGAAAAATTAATTGCTCAGACGCGATGACGACGACAACACAAACAAAAATTATGTCGCACAATCCCACCGGTGGCGGTACCGGGGCGAAACGCTTTCTTGCGTCGTGTCCTGCGCTCCTTCCTGCGCCATCCTCGTCCTTAAACACTCCACCGCCGCCAGACCACCATCGAACGTGTTAATGGACGTACCGTTGGGCTGCATGACGTCTACACTTAAAAACGGTCCAAAATTAATGATCGTGCGCCGTTCGAGTCGCCTTTACGCGCTCCTGTCTCGGAATTTAAAAACAAAAAGTGGAAAAAACGCTATTTTTCTACGGCCGACGACGACAAAGACGAATAACGCGCGCGAAGCCATAACAATAATAACATGAACGGGACGGAGAATAAGAAAAAGGAAACCAACCCTTGCAGATATCAAACAATGCTGGTGGTGGTTTGGAGGGTAGAGGGAATTCTTTTGTTCAGCGATCGGTGGTGCAATGAAAATAATGTACCTACCTATGTTTTTTCCGCTGATAATGAAAATATCGCACCATGTATCTATACTACGTACACGCCGCACTTGAACTCGTGTAGTAGCTGTGATCTCGAATTGTGGGCGGGGATGATATCGTGTCAAAGCCACCACCACCAGTGGTGAAGGACACGTCAAGAACACGCGTCGCGAGCCTCTCGTTATTCGTCACCGCCGTCTCCTTGGCCTTTAAAAGAACCTATGCTCATCCAAGAGAGTAGTTTTAGTATGCRTCACCGTCGCGATGTGCAGTATTTTATATCATAATATTATGCAAATGTTATAATATCGGTACGACATATTAGATAATGGAAAACGGGCTTTTCCGAGTATTCCAATCGTCATCGTCGCCTCGCTGTGGGTAATACACGACGATTGCGGCTGCGAAGAGACGTCCTGCAAGGAATTCCGCGAAGACAGTACTCATAGTTTTACACGGGTGGCATGTTTCGCGCATCTATTCCCTTTAGTGCCATACACCTGCTGACTGAACGCCTTCCAATGCGACTCGTTACATATATTTCAGTAGAAAATAGTGAAACTAAAAGATATGGTCTAGAATCGAACTTGGTAATCGTAAATCAGACCAAACGCTGAAAATCCAGGGTCATTTGGAAATCGATCCGAACATTTCATTTGTTATCGTACTGAGCTCTGGGATTTTAAATTAATTATAAAATCTAAGTTTTAGTTTCACGTCATACCTTAATAACTAAATTAAAACATTTAAGTCTCATTGGTTCTAAATGTTTAGTTTAGATTTTAGAGTATAAATACACATTTTAATTCTTACTGTAAAAATGAATACCAATCATTTTAAAATAATATATATTTGTATTTAGGATTAGTAAGAATTTAAAACTTTTAATTTTATCTTCAATTTTGGTTCGGTTCTGTTTTTTTTTTTTTWAAACTACGATAGACTTTTTAACTTGAACCAAACTCGTTTTAAGCTTTGTTTAATTTTTTGAACTTCAAACAGTAATCAGTTCAACCCATCTCTGTTTTCTAAGTACCTATGTCTTATATAGGTTATGTTACTTATATGATTATATATTGTAGACATTAGGATATTTCTGTTATATATTTCGATCTTGGCAGTATTTTTTTTGTTATTGTACTACTTCTTAGTTAGCCATGCCTAAGAAGAGTTTTTTTCATGATTAACAAAATTCAAGTAACAGATGTTGTAATAGGTTTATTAAAAAATACACTCTCAAAGTTTACACAAATTATTTAGAAAAACATGTTACATAAAATATTATTAAAAAGGAAAAAAAAATATGAACAA